AAATAAGTTGATTAAATAGAGGAATTGATATAAAAATTGAGAATAAAAACGAATGAGTTAAAAAAGTGAATATTAAAACAAAAATCGAAAATAGAATTTCCAAAGTTGAAAAGTGAATTAAAAATTAAATAATTGAGAAATAAGTCACTTAAGCTATAAAAGCAATAAAAATAAAAAGTGATAGAAAACGGATGAATTAAAATAAAATCACGTTAGTCAAAAAGAGTATTAAAATAGAAATTGAGAAGAAACATTTAAAAGAAAAAACTAAAATAAAAATTAAGAGAAAAATATCTAAAAAAATAAATAAATGAAGTTTTGAAAAACACATATAGAAAATTTTAGAAGAATATTGAAGTGATTAAAGAAATAAAAGTAATTGAAAGATAAAAAAATCCTCTATTGAAGAGTAAGAAATTAAAAAGCGATATTTTTCAAGTAAAAATAGAAATAAAAATAATAACTTCTAANCTATTGAAGAGTTAAAGTTAAAAAGCGATATTTTTCAAGTAAAAATAGAAATAAAAACAATAAATTCTAAAACTAAATTTTTGAAATAAAAAGTGAATATTGAAAGCTATGACAGAAGAATTAGAATCTATTGTTGTAGCAGGTGTGCCAGACGAGCATAAAAAAACATTAGAGTGGGTAAATTCTCTTAAAAAACTTGAACTTATAAAAGAACTCGAAATTAGAAATTTAGATATTAATGGTACAATATCAGAATTGAAAGTTAGATTATTTTGGTATTTCTTACCTAAGAACTTAACAGAGAATAATAGCAAAAACGATACTGATCAAAATATACTCCCATCTAAAGTAATTAATAATTTTAATATGAATAAAAATTTATTTTTCAAACCGACTATTTTTTCGGGTGGCATAAATGAACGCGTAGATTCATTTTTAAAAACATTCAATAGAGCTGCATTAATTAATAATTGGTCAGAAATAGATAAACCACAATATTTAGTAGCCTTTTTACAAGGTCCAGCATTAACGTNACTTAGTAGCCTTTTTGCAAGGTCCAGCATTAACATTTTATGATAATATTGAATCTAAAAATTTACCATGGAAAGAATTAGAAATAAGATTTAGAGAAGAGTTTGAGCCAATTGCGCAAAATGATATGTTGCGAATATTATTAGAGAGAAGAAAACAAGTAGATGATGAACAGACGGGTGTTTTTATTAATGAAATAGAAGCATTATGTAAAAGAGTTGACAAAAATATGTCAGAGGAAGAGTTAGTACGAAATGTAATGAAAGGTTTAAAGCCGAGTATTGCTAGATACATTGGAATTCTTGAAAACCGTAATTTAGATGAGTTAAAAAAGAATATTCATAAGTATGAGATGATAGAATTTATGATTACTGGGGAATCTCCTAAAAGTCTATCTGAAATAAAACAGTCAATAATAACTGAAAAAATTAATCAAATAACTAAATTTAATGATAATAATGAAATTCAAAAGTTAAATGAAGAAATTTTAAATTTAAAGCAAAATCAGGAACAATTTAATGAATATATTAATTTTATACCTAATAGTAGTCAATTTCAAAATAATGCTAATTTATATAGTAATAAAAAATTTTCATTAAGAAATAATCAATTTCAAAACAATGCTAATTTATCTAATAATAATTTTTCTACTAAAAATAATCAATTTCATAATAACAATAGATTTAATAATAGTGATCAGCGTTACAACAATAATAAGTTTCAAAATAATAATAAATTCAGAAATAATTATTCATCTAATAATAATAAATTTCAGAATCAATATATACCGTACAATAATAACTTTAATAATCGAACTAATCAATCACATTTCAATAATTTTAATAATAATTACTCATCGCGTAAAAATAATGATCAACAATTTTCACAACCGAAAATTAATTTTCAACAAAATTATAGACCACAATGGGCTAAAAGAGACAATTACCAAGAAAATAATAAGAACTTCCAAAATAATTTTAACACACAAAAATATACTTCAAATACTTTAAAATGTAATTTTTGCAACAAAAATAACCATAGATCAGAAAATTGCTTTTTTAAGGATAATAAGGTGAAATGTCAACTGTGTGGCTTTGTGGGTCATACAGCTCTTAATTGTATTAAGAATTCAAAAAACTTGAATCAAGGTTAAACACCGCTGAAACAGATAGTTCACCTTTTAATTCAGCAAATAATAACATTAATTGCTTAACAAATAATAATATCACATCAGTTGCTTTACATTTCTTTGCTTTATTTAATGACATTAATATACCCATAACTATTGACACAGGGTCAAACGTTAGTTGCATTACACACACTTTAATACCACAAAATATGATAAATGATAAAAGTGACCTAACAATAGGAGGTCCAGATAACACTCCACTGACAGTATTAGGTACATCTAATATCATTTTAAATATAAATTCTAATGAATACTCTATCAAAGTTCATGTTATAAATAATTTATCCTGTCTTATTATTCTCGGCAATGATTTTTTGGAACAAAATAATAGTGTTATTGACTTTGATAAAAAAATTATGACAATAAATTCAATTTCATTACCTATTTTTATAGACAATATTAGTTATGTAAATCAATTAAACACAAAATTTAACGAAAAAGTAATGGATTTATTTTCAGTAGATAGCAATTATTCTTTTGCACATTGTATTTCAGCAGATCTAAAAATGAGTGAAGGTATAGCTTTAGATATTTGTAATAAATATGGAAATATGGCACCAAAATTATATAAATTAAATCCCCAAATAGGTGATGCGATTCCAATTGTTATCAATGGCAGAGTTATTTATTATTTAATCACAAAAAATTATTATTTTGAGAAACCAGAATATATCAATATTAAAAAAGCATTAAAAAATTTAAAAATTCAAATGATAAAACATCATGACTCTGACATTGCTATGCCAAAAATAGCATCAGGTTTAGACAAAATAGAATGGTACACCATAAAAGAAATGATTATTTCAACCTTTCACAATACTAACATAAACATATTAATATGTCATAACAACAATGAATATATCACACATAATCACAAAAAACACAATTCATTTATAAATGCAATCAAATTTTCATATGATAACTTACAAAAAAAAGAATCAAATAATAAAAATAAAAATAGTAATAACCAAATTGGGGATGAGAGATTAAAAATTTTCGAAAAATATAAAAAGGGAGAAAATGTGTTGAGTGATGGCAATTGTGGTATTTATTCATTGGTAAATTCTTTAAACTATGGTAAGACACAAAAAATAACTTCGGTATTAGAAATTTTAGAGCTTTTAAACCTCGATGATCTTCCTAATTATTGGTTTAGCGATTCCGAATTAGCCTCATTGGCAAATTATTATAATCATGACACTTACGTTTTTGACTCCACTAATAAAACTGGAATCGTTTATGGGTTAGGTAATCGTCCACCTATAGTACTTAACAATGTAGAAAACAATAAGCATTGGATTCCTGGAGTACTTTCGTATAAAAAATCTAAATATATTCCAAGTAATGTAATAAGTTTCACAGAATTTGATCCCATTTATAAATTAAAACAATCAATAGCAAATCACGTTAAAAAATCATTTAACACAATTGAACCATGTAATGATTCAATAACTAATAAATCTATCATAAACAATAACAATGTAATTTTAAATATAAACACACACATACACACAAATAAAAAAACTATTGCAAATAGAGGGGGAATGCCGATTAATATTTTACCTCATTTACTAGATTCCGAACACAAACAAGCCTCTAAAATAATAACAAAATACAATTATTCAGAATTGAATAATATTGTTAATATTAAAAAAGCAAATAAAGAAAATATACCACAGAACTATATTTTTCCAAATTTAAGCAAATTTAATATTTCAACACAAAAAGTAGAGTTAAACAAAATAATAAATGAAAGCATAGAAACAAAAACATTATTTAACTTTATGACACCACCATTAATTAATAACAAAAGATTTTATTCAAATTGTTTAGTTGTTTCAGACAAAAATACGAAGGAGAGAATTAAAAAATTTCAGTTGCAATTGCAAACAAAAAAAAATCTATTAAAGACAATAGACAATTTTCAATATATTAACTCAATTAATTTAAATTGTCAATTTTTACAGGTACATATAAAAGCAACAAATCGGTTCAAAATAAATCTAACTTATTTTTATAATAACAATCATAACACTATGAAAATAGAACAAGATACTTTAAAAAAAAATGAAACGCTATCAATTTTACCTAATAAACTTATTTCTCTTGGTTATAACCTAAATTCTGATATGAAAAATATTCCAAAAATTTTACAAAATTTTAAAAGAAACATTTTAAATACAAAAAATTCATTTTATCATTCTTTAAATAATTATTATTGGTCTTTTAATAATTACATACAACTTTTTGTTAAACACACCATGAAAAAGACTTGCATTAAGCATCTCATTTTTATTTTTGACCCTGGAGGTTAATATTTTTATATAATTTTCATTAACAATCAAAAAAGGGAAACATTGTGTAACGAATATAAAAAAAAATGTTTATAACAAAATACTTATACTTTATTTATTTTTAAGTTGAATAAATATTACACAATATATTATTTGTTTGTCAATCATCCATAATTTGTAACTAATTATAAATATACAAATCATATAAAAGCAAACTTTTATTAATGATTTCAATGAGTTAATAAATATTCATAATCTATGTTCTATATTTAATCACATCAAGGCTACATGTAAAAACTTAAAGTCTCATAATGCAGTTTTATAATTCACATCATTGTATAATCAGTAATATAATTTTATAATTAGTTCATAAAATAAACATTTTTATAAAAAAACTTACAATTGTACAGCAAGTTTCAACTATTTCAATTCATTAAAAAGTTACAAAAAATAAAAAAAAAGCAATTCATACTAGTAATGGTAGTTAAATAATTAGTTCAACGATCGCCAGATGAAGACTTTGGAATTAAAATAATCAGTAAAAACTAAAGAATCAAGTGCTTATACAATATCAAATCTTAAAAAGAAAAGAAAAAACAAGTTTGAGAAATCTATTTGTACTTGTCACAATGTATTTGATTTTGACATCCATGGCTTCAAAAGAAAGTTACAATAAATCAATAATAATGTGAAGTCCACACAAAAAAAAATTATAGATTTCCACAATCAAAAGCACATTTATACTAAAAAATTACAGAACCAAACAGCAATACATTAAAATTGCATAGGGCAAAATTCTAGAAAAACGAAAAACGTCTGAACTTTTTATTTATAACAACTATTACAATGTATGAAAAGAACAAGATGATCTTTCAGACAGCAATAAATTTCCTTATACTGTTTTAAAATGTTATAGACATTTTATTGTTGCTATTTATTATTATTATATCATTATAATAATTGATAGTGATTGTCATATTGTTATTGGCACAACATTTAAATATTTTATTTTGTACTATACATACTTATTTACTATCGTATTTATATATTATATACTAATTTTCAAATCAATACCTTATATGTATTAGATTATATTATTAACATTTAACCATATTATATACTAATATTTAATATTAAATTCCATAATACTTCATCATTATTATTTATAAATACTATTAATCAAATACTTTTACAAAATTGTTATTATACCCTATTACGATAATTTTTTTCTTGATCATACTCCCCTTAGTTGTGAGGACACAACTTTTAAAAAAATTGGGGTGGATGTTATAATACATACACCACTCATTATTCAGTAGTATATATGTTATTACCTATTAGTCATCAAATTAAAAATATTATTCATGTTAATACTTTAAACTATTCCAAGAAATATGTCTAAAAATACATTGATATAAATCTACTGTAATAATTATAAGAAATTCTTTAGTTGTGACAAATTATCTATTTTAAGTAAAATAATATGTAATAAATAACACAAATTGAGTAATAAACAGATAATAGTAAAAGGTCGTGACACTTCTTGCATAGATAGATGAATTAAATTTAATATAAAAGGGCATAAAAACTGTCAATCTCTCTCACTACCACTTCACCTTATGAACTTTTAACGAATGCAAGAAGTGGCTTGACAAAATACGATTTTACATAGAAAATTGAAGTATATTCATTTTTTCAACATTAGTCCTGAAATCATTAAGGTAAATTCATATTCAAAGTAAATATAATGAGTACATAAATTAAGTAGGAAACCAGAAAAAGTAAAGTGATCTCTAGAATAAAATATTGTCTAAATAAATAAAGAGAATCAATAACGTTTGTACGAAGTTAGCCAGCCTAGTCTAATCTTTGAGTGGGTTAACTGTGTAGTCAATACTAATAAAGACTCTCTTGCGAAGATAGAGAACCCACTTGTGGTTCCTATACTACTCGAGGTTTTTATTGACTCGACTCACAGTCAGCACAAGCCTAGATAACTACTGGTACGAGTGGCGTTGTTGATGATTTATGTGTGATAATTAATCACAATAATTTCTATTTAAAATTATTATTATATTAATACATTTTCAAACATCACTTTGTTTTTCTATATTTTACATCTTCTCATATACCCTCGTACTCATATCCCGAGAGAAAAATTATATTGTATCATTTTCATTATTCAATAAATATTATAGTAACTCAATTATTCTCATGCTCATATAATACCAACAAATATAAATAATTTTTAATAAAATTATCTTTTAATTACTAAATAAAAAATCTTCTTAATAATTTTCTCCTTTTATTTTGAGTTACTATATTCCGGCGGCGATTTGTCCTCCGGACGGCGGACGGCGGAGGGCGTCTAGCAGTGCGCTCTGCACGTCGCCCCCCTCCGTCCATTCCTCCACGTCAAGGAGCATGACGGGCACCGTCAACACCGGACGGTGGACGCGCACGTCATGCTCCTTCAGGGCGCCCTTCAGGCTGTCAGCTAGGCTGTCAGCCTAGGCGCCCGAACCCCGTACCTCCAGGAGTACGGCTCCCGTGCGGGTCCGCCTGGTGCCCGCCAGTTGGACCCCAAGGGCCTTGAGGTCAACGGCAGCCATCGCAGTCTTTATGACCGCGGCGTACCGTTGACCCTCTTTCAGCGGCCCGATCACCACCGCATCCGTCTTCGGGACTTTGGCCCGGAGCTGGGCGGCAGTCAGGCCTCGCGACGGTGGCGGCGGACTCGGCCTGGGCCCGCTGGGGACCTCCGCCTTGGTAGCTGCCGTCGGCCGCTCCACCTTTCTGGCCCCTTTTCACTTTACCACCTCTGTCCACGAGGTGGCTGGGGGAGGGGTTGGAGCGGCGGCAGGTGCGCTTGGAGACAGAAGGGGAGCTGCACCGCTGAGTGGCAGGGGCGCTGTGATGTCCGCGGTAGGACACGCAGCGTCTTTCCTCTCCCCCTTCTTCTTCTTCCTCCGCTTCTTGGCGGCGGCGATGGCAAGCGGAAGCGCACCCGCTGCTACCTCACCGCCATGTAGGGGGGACGCTGCGTCCCCGATGGGCCTAGATGGTGGGCCATAAGTGTCCCACCAGTACTCTGTCTGGGACGCGCAGTCCTGGACGCACTTGGGGCTCTCCGACATTAATTCAGGCGATCTCCTCCCAGGCGAGCTGGTGAGGTGAAAATCAGCCAAGGCCCTTATGGTTTCAATAAGGGCCGTGGCCATCTTCACCACTCGCCTATGAGGGCTATAGACCTCTAGTACGTCGGAGAGCTGGCCCGCCTGCTCCCTGGCGAGGTCTAGTCCAGCCGACAACACCTCGTCGGCCCGACCGATCACCCTCTTTGGTGTCCCGTCAGCGTTGAAGAGATCAACTGGAGTCGCCGGCATAGGCACAATCGCACCGGGCGGGGTATCCTCCAATGTGATAGTTGGTGGGCTGATCGTTGGGGAGATCTCCTTACGTTTGGGACGCAAGAAATCGTCCTCCCCCAGCTCAGCCGCCACCACTTCACTGACTCCCACAATGGTTGAACCCGAAGTTCCTATCCTCGGCGAACCGGCCCTAGACACGCTCCGCAATCTCTCCAATATGGAGGGTTTTGGAGACGCATCCAGGGAGATAGCCGTCGTCAAGTCCGTGTAATCCGTTGCCAATATCCTCCCGGCTATTTCACCGGTGGGAGTGGCTTGGTCACCACCACTCCCTGCAGTCGCAGTACCAACCCCGTGGTTGGCTGCAGGAGCCTGCCTCAACACTCCTGCATTTACTGTGTATTCGTTTGATAACGACACCTGGTGGGTACACCCCCCACCAACCGCCGGCACTGGGGCATCCGAATCCCCTGATGCAGTAACCTTTTTCTCCGTGTTTGCCATTATTCATATAAAATAATTTTCTGAGGGGGCTGCCCTCATAGCCAGTCCCTCCGGCCAGTGAGTGGCTAACTACACTGGTTGCGTTGCCATATATTTCCATTCTCACCCAAACGCTACCGCTTATTCGACCATAAAAGGCTTATTTCACGGCTACCCTACATATCTACAGGGCTAACAAGCGTTTAGGCGGCTCGCTGTCCGCGACCGCTTATTCGTCAGTCCAAATTAATGGACTGCTTATTTCGCGGCTAACCTGCATATCTGCAGGCCGTTCCTCTATCCGCAACCTGAGGAGGCGCCCGATTCCCCGAGCTAGGGAAACTGCGCCCGTGCCGACGTTTCGTAGCCCCGTAGAGCCCGATCACACCGACACTGTAGCGCAGCGCAACGGGCCGGCTTGTGCCTAGCGCTGGACAAAACCGAAGCGGTTTTATTCACGCGAAAGTAAAAGTACGTTCCTCCTAGGCTCACCGTACTGGGGACTGATGTCCCGCTGAAGCGGACCATGAGCTATCTTGGTATCATGAGATACCATGCTCATCGACGACAGGTTGATGTTCGGGCCGCACATTGAACGTGCGGCCCAGCGGGCTCAGAAGGTCATTGACCACCTGGCGGGACTGATGCCGAATATCGGGGGACCGAAGGAACATCGACGCCGACTGCTAGTCAGCTTTGTTCACTCGGTCCTCCTGTATGGGTCCCCGGTCTGGGCGACTATACTGGAGTACTCGCCCAAGAACGTAGTAGCGTTGAACCAGGTCCAGAGAAGGGCCGCTCTCCGGACGGTGTGCGCATACCGCACCGTATCCGGAGTGGCGGCCAGGATCCTGGCTTCTCTGCCGCCCGCGGACCTGTTGGCCGTCGAACGCGCCAACGGATACGAGCTCCGGAAGAGCACCGGTCAACCGCTTCGCGCGGAGGACCGGTTGCAAATACGGAGCGTAACCGTGTCCAGTTGGCGCCAACGATTCGCCGACGAGGAATCCGCGGGAGCGTGGACGAGGTCCCTCATCGGACTTAGCCGGCTCGACAGGTGGATTGGCCGGACTCACGGGGAAATGACATACCGTCTTACCCAGGTGATGTCCGGTCACGGCTGCTTCAACGAATACCTTCACCGTATTCGGAAAGCAGCCGCGCCGACGTGCGATCACTGTCGGGATCGCCCGGGAGAAGCGGACAATGCTCTGCATACGCTCTTCCGGTGCGAAGCGTGGGCCAATGAGCGGGAGGACTTGGAATCCCGCTTGGGGTCCGCGTTCGGTGTGGGGTCCATGGTGGACCATATGCTGAGAAGCCGGGAGGGGTGGTCTCTGGTTCAGGCGTTCGCAGAATCGGTGATGAGCCAAAAAGAGGAGGCCGAACGCCTGTGGCAGAGACTGCCCAGGGTGGTAGTACCTGCGGCGTCGGCTAGACTGGCGCCGTAGGTGCTTGTTTTTATGTTTATGTGTTATGTATGTTTCTGTGAGTTATTTTGCCCATCCCTCGCAAAGTCCTGCCCCCACCTCTACGCGGTGCAACCCGGGCAACGGATCCCGCCTTTTGGGATCCGGCTAACGGGGGAGGCCACACCACGTCGTGAATCAGCTCTTGATTAATTTCGGGCTGATTCACAACGTGGTGGTGTGAATTTTAGACGGCGTGGGCCGCCCTGAAGCAATACCTCGCGGTAGTTCCAGGGCGATCCACACGATGCCGGATTGTGGAAAAAAAAAAGGGGGGATTTGATTTCGGTGTTACCTTCACCTAGTTGGTTGCCTTACCAGGCTATCGGGCCCACCCGTCCGTTATGAAAATTACCCTCGATCGCTACCGCTTATTCGTCCACTTTAAAAGGAGTAGCTTATATCACGGCTACCCTACATATCTGCTGGGTTAACGAGCGAACGAGGGGCTCGCTGTCCGCGACCGCTTATTCGTCAGTCCAAATTAATGGACTGCTTATTTCGCGGCTAACCTGCATATCTGCAGGCCGTTCCTCTATCCGCAACCTGAGGACGCGCCCGATTCCCCGAGCTAGGGACACTGCGCTCGTCCGACATTTCGTAGCCCCGTAGAGCCCGATCACGCCGACACTGTAGCACAGTGCAACGGGCCGCGTCGGCAACCTCCTGGATGATGAATTCCTCCACCACGTCGTCCCCGAACGTAGGGGGAGGCAGAGGAGGGTGTGTCGGAAAGAGCGTGTCTACCGCCCTTTCCAGCACTTCCGCCTCCAGCTGACCGGAAGCCGGTGAACCGCGGAGCTCCCGCATAACGACCCGATAGGGTTTCCCCAACGGGTCGTGGTCCACCGACTTCACGAGTTTGGCCCAGCATTTGGCCGGAAGAGCGAAGTCGCAGGCTGCGGCCACCCTCCGGTCCAACTCTTCCGCCGCTTCATTCGCGGAGACGTGTCGGTCCGGTACTGCAGTGCAAAAATGGCTCGATAATTGGTTTGCGTCAAAAGAGCAACAATTCTTCTGGCGTGAAATCCATAAATTGCCCGAAAGATGGGAAAAATGTATAAGTAGCGAAGGGTAATACTTAGAATAGGATGTATAGTATCAGTTTTGTACAATTAACTAGTATTTTATGTCAAATAATTCCGGTTTCATATTTACTCACCTGGTAGATATTGTAAATTTTTATTTTCAAAAAATTCCATGGGGTGAAATGTATTTTTGAAATAAAAGCTATGTCAATGTTCTCATTACTTAAGAAGTCTTTGAGTTCTTGTTTACGCTATGCTAGCCAATTGGCGTTCCAAGCTATGATACGTAATGTATGATTCATTTCTTCTTTTTGTTTTGATTGTTAGACTTAGACTGGTAACTTTCTAACTTATCAAGTCTACTTGTCATATTTGTTATATTTGTAAGGACTGATAAAATTTCCATTAGAGCTGAGTGATCACTTTCAGCCGGCTGTATTGGTTGTTTTTTAAGAATAACGTTATTTTCATTATAGTTGCGATTTATTTGTTGAACGAGTAACACGTATGTTCCGCTTTACAGTGTCAAATTTGCTCGCATTTTTAATAAATACTCAATAACCAAAAATGTTTTCGCGTACTACAGTAAAGTACTAAGTGTATCAACAGTTATTTAAGTCAAGTTGCGTGTGATGGCTCGTGCCGCTGTTTTTATCAACAATAGACATGTATGATAATATAATTACACAGTCAAATCAAATTGTAATCGATCTAAGTGTTTTGAATCAACTACAAAATGAAAATGAATCATTAAGAAAAATAGTAGTAGAGCTCCAAATGAGCATTGAGCAGTTGAAAACTGAACAAATTAATCGGCATGTAAGTAGCATACATGATAATAATGAAAATAACAATTTTATTAGTGATAAATTAGGCTGTAACTCGGATGCTTCACGTAGTTCATAAAAAAAAACAAATAAAAGAAATAGAAAAAAATGTATTAAAACTTGCGCCAAGAATTTATAAACATCCTCGAATAACTGCCAGTGGCGTTAAAAATATTAACGATTTAATTTCTATTTTAACTCGTGAAGAAGCTATTGGTCATTTTAACACAACAGTTAAAAACTATTGTTAACGGTGATATTAAAATTATGACTGGCGATGAACACCAATTCAGACGTACTTTAAAAGTACTTGAAAAAAATAAAATTGAGTATCACAGATATCAATTAAAAACAGGAAAAAAGTTTCTTATTGTAATCAGAGAATTACACCCTGACACTGAAGTATGTGAAATTAAAAGAGTCCTAGCAGATAATGCAAGTGATGTCACTAACATTCATATTAGGAAAAAAATAAATCCTAGTGACAAAAATAGTAAAAAAACAATAATAAAATTACCGTTATTTTTTGTAGACCTTTATCCTCGAGATTACAATAAATAAATAGTTTATGTTATCATAAAATAAAAGTAGAACCTCCGAAGAAAAAAAAAGGTGTGCCACAGTGTAAAAAACTGCCAAGCCTTTGGACATACTCAAAATTATTCTCATAAAAAATCTATCTGTGTAAAATGTGGTGAAGATCATAAAACAGAAGATTGTCCAAAACCGAAAAAATTGAAATCGAAATGCTCCATTTGCAGAGAAGCCTCACACTGCAAATTGGAAATTCTGTTCATCTTACAAGCAAGCAGAAGAAAAAATCCACCCAAAAAAAAAAACATCCACAGTACAACGACTCCAACAGAAACCTGCTAAAACTGTTACATCAGATGTTTCCTATGCTAAAATAGTTAATAGTTCTAATGGAAATAACGTTATTCTTAAAAGAGCTGTAAAAGAGTTCTTAAAATATTGAAATTTAGTTAGGTTGGATTGTTTTGGAAAAGCTTGCGGATAGAGCTAAGGTGCTTTCAACCCTTCACATTTAATCGCCAAAGTGAAATTTGCGCTTTGATACGTAAACTAAATTCATACATTGTATGTCATGTTATAAATAGTACATATAATGATTATATTCTTAGTTTTATTTTAATTAGTTAGCCCTATAAAATTATCAAAATATTAAGTGATAAAACGCTTAAAAAAATTGTTCTGAATATGGATATAAGAATAATCATTTATTAAAGCACTAATAATTCCTTAAAATAACTGTCAAATGTTATTTGCATGCATATAATAAAAAACTTATACAATTAATACCATAAATAAAACATTATTTCTGATATGATAAATAATAAAATTAAAAAAGGCGATTAAAATATATATATTATTATATATTTATATAAATATATAGCTTGTAGAAGTATTGAAAAATCCTTAAAGTAGTTCTTATTTGTTAGTTTTTTTATTTTTAATAATACTAAAAATGATTGTAATAAAACTTATATTATTGTTGCACATTTATTTGATCTTTGGGTTATCGGTAAATGATTTACAGTGTAATTTTTCCAAATATATATTAAATTATTTCAATCATAATAACCGATATTTAATTGAAATGATTGAAAATATACAAAAATATGACGTGGTTAGTTTAAACAAATATGGCAATGCAATAAAAACTCATGGCGAAATCGTATTAATAATGTTAGATGTTTTAAGGGATGCTGATAAAAATTTTTACTCGACAGATTTGATATCAGTCAATTTATACTTAAATAATGTTTCTGATTATGTGAATTTCTATGCTAAAAATGATGACGGAATATTTGATTTGTCAGATAAAACTACAAGTATTATTAAAGGTTATGAAATACTTCATAAGTTTTTTTCAGATTATTTAAATATGGTATTATCTAAAAAGTGCCAATGTGTTACATTTGACGAAGTATTTATTTATTTTCCTGATTACAACGAATCAGGAGAATATACTCTCGAAAATTTCCTAAGTGTTGCGAATAAACTTAAAAACCGATTGTTACAAACAAATAAACTTCAAAACAACACTGATGAAAACATAAAAAATTTAGAACACAGTAAAGTATATTTTGTTTTCAATAAAGCTATTAAAAGGTGTAAATACTGGGAATTTTTACCAAAAAATTTACTATTTTATGAGTTTATGATGAGTAATCCCAAAATTTCCGAAAAAGATATAATGAGAAATTCTCAGGATAAACAATATCCAGTGTTAGTAAACGGAAAAATAAAAAGTGTTTTAGATTTGATTCGATTTGCACCACTCTCCATAACGTGCCCCGATGGAAGTAACTTGACCCTTTTTGATATATTTAGATACATAAAATATAGTTTTCACGCAAAAGAAATACAAGCTTTTCATGGACTAATCATGACTGCAACATTTCGTCCTATTGCTTTTCTTGTAAGAAACTTTATCATTATTCTTAGATCCTCAAAATATGTTTACAATTTTTCTAGTGATCAAGAAGAACGTTTAATATTCTATAACGATATTATTTCTGTTGGTAAAAATGTAATTGAAATTTTTCAAAATTTTGTTAATTTGAATCTCTTTGGTGATGGCCCAGCAAATGTCTTTTTAACATTTTTAAAAACAACTACTGAATGTTTTGATAGTTTCCTTAAAAAAAAAAAAAAAAAAAATTTCAATTTATCATCCTTGAATCTGATGTATTCATTAAAATCATTTTTGTATGACAACAAATATGATTTTGATAATATAACTTGGTATTTTACAAAGGATATTATCAATAGTAGCTTAAATAAGTTGATTGTAAACGTAAAACATGCTGAAAAATTTATAAGAAAATTAAAAGAACATCAGAAATTTTTTGAATTATCCAAAAATACTTTGAATATTCCGCACAAGTTAAATGTGCAATACACGTATGTTTTTAAAGAATATACAATAAGTAAGTTTTAATATCAATTTAATTTAATTATTAGTTTTATATATATTTTGAAATTAAATAGAATAGTTTACAAAAATAATCTAAGTATTATTATTAGCTAGAACTAAAATTTTCTCCCTTTTCTTAATTTTTTTGAAAATTTTTTCAACGTATTTAATTTTTAAATTATAATTTTGTAATGCTTATATATTAAAATGAAAATTTATTTATTATTTTTTGTCTTTTATCATTTAAATATCATTATCATTTGAAATACTTATTTTATTCTCTTTTAAAAAATATGTTATAAAAATAAAAGTATCATCATCTTTGTTTTAGATGAGTTATGTCGATCTAAAGATATTTACACATTATTTTATAAATTCAACGATGATTATATTAATCAAATTTTTGATTACGAGAAAAAAAGTAAATCCGATGATGGCGAAAATAGAAACAAAAACATTAGTCAAGAAAATTATCCAGAAGATAATATAAATAATGATTGTTACTGCAATATAATCTATTATCCTAAATATTTGAAGGATTACATATTGTTTATATAAATTGTAAACCAATTTATATTTATGAATACTTTTTTTACTTTTTTTTTCGCTTAAATTATATTTTTGCACTTAAAAATCCAAAATGAACACAAAAATTTTAAAGTTCATACAAATATAACTATATGCTCTATTAAAGAAATGTTCTATACAAATACTTCAAAATAAAAAAATACTCTAAAAATAAAATTGTTTTATATGTATACAGATGTCCAGTTGTCATTCACTGTTTTAAATACATCCTAAATTAAACTAGATGTAGAATGCGTTATATTTCCTTACATTTCTGAATTAATGGACTATATTTATTTCTTTGTTTTTAAATAAATTTTGTTTTATTAAAGAAATTAATAAAAATACTTTTTATTATTTATGTTATTTAAAATTTAAGATAAGCATCTTAAAATGGCTATCTTAAAAATTTATTTCGATTCTACAAATTTAGAGCTTTCTTAAAGTATATAAATTTTATTTTATATTAAAATATGATTAATAGTAAAAAAATATTTTTTATCTTAAAAATCAACATATAAAAATTATATTTAATTACTAAAATACATAATACTTGTTGAAAAAATATATGCTGTTCTTGATTGTTGTACGATTTTACTCTAAGTAACAAAGAAATATTCTGTAAAATTAGTTTTTTACTAAAAATAATTTGTAGTAATTTACCTGTTAAATTTTAAATATTAAATTTAACAACTATGCATTGCTTAATATTTTCAAATACCTAAATTCTATTATCTGAAAGAATATTTTTATAAATATATATTTTATTTGTATTCAATTCGATTTATATAAATTGGTATGTGTTCATAATTAATATTGATGAAAACCAAGTTAGTTTCAATATCATTGTCATTTATTATTTTTTTCGCTATTTTAATAATACAAACGTAAATTTTTTTAATAGATCGTTAATTATATTCTTAATAAATTTAAAATGTTCACAATAATACGTTGCCACACCAAACCATATACCCCAGTGTGTCAATACAAGTTGTGACAATAAAGAAATTTGTTTCAGACACAGATTTAAATTTTAAAACTCGAGATAGAGTTTTTAAAAAAAATTTTTTCATCCCTACATGTTATAATTTTGAGTATATAACTTTTATTCACACCGCATACGAACGCGTAGATAGCGTGCACTTACTTGATTATGTCCACTCACCTTCACTTCATCACTTGGTTATTTGGCGGCATCGGTCGGTTATCACTGCTAGCAGATAATTGTAAAGTTTGGCCCAGCATTTGGCCGGAAGAGCGAAGTCGCAGGCTGCGGCCACCCTCCGGTCCAACTCTTCCGCCACTTCGTTCGCGGAGACGTGCCGGTCCGGTACCTCTGGTGCCGACCATTGAGCGAGCAGCAAGCTCATTTCGAATGCGTCGACGTCCGTGCCCGGTCCGACCCACCAACCCTAACACCCACCGCGATACGGCTCACGGGGCCCGACTCGAGGGAGACGGCTGCCATGGCCTCACTCGTACACGATGTACCGGTGGTCGCTGAGGTTTACTCTGTTCGGGAGAAGCAACCTGCCGGACACGTGCGGGTGCAGCAACGGGGACACCAGCGTTACGTCCACCACCGAGCTCGAGGAGTGACCCTCGAATATTGGGGTGCATTTCCGATTTCCGCGCGGCACCTTTTCATCTGGCTGGCGGAGAGCGTCCAGTAGTGCGCTCTGCACGTCGTCCTCCTCCGTCCATTCCTCTACGTCGAGGAGCATCACGGGCACGGGCACGGTCATCACCAGACAGTGGACCCGCACGTTATGCTCCTTCAGGGCGACCGTCAGCTAGGCTTTCAGCCTAGGCGTCCAATCCCCGGACCCCTTAAAGGTCGGTTCCCGTTCAGGTCCTCCTGGTGCCCGCACGTCACGCCCGACACTTTTATCACAATAAAATTAGTATTTCTCGTTCATTATTATTTTAAGTTTTTTTTAAAAATTATTTTTAAGTTTTAAGTTCGATATGCTTTAAAAGCGTGTTTTTTCAATTTTTTTTTTCTTAAAACTGCCATAACTTTTTCAAAAATGAACAAATCAAAATAAATTTTTTTTTATAGATGCTTGATGTCTTTACCTATCTATTGGTATATTTTTTTTATAAATTTAACTCTTTACCAGCCCACAAGGGAGGATTCAAAATGAAAACTTTTTCACAAAAAATTTACTTTTTGATTTAACTTTTGAAAGTGTTCCGGAAAGTCTGACACTTTTATATATATCTTAAATTAAAGTTGGGTAAAATTAATTGAAAAAAATTAATTTCGGACTTTATTTTGTCTTCATGGTGAAAATGGTTACCGTATGCTATATTTGTTTTAAAATTCTCGATTTTATATATTACATTTTTAACTTTAAAATATTATAACTTTTTGAAAAATGTATGGATCCATAAAATTTTTTTATAAGAAATAATATTTATATACTTCTTTAATTCGACATATTTGTTTTTTAAAGACACGCTTTGTCAATGAGTCTAAACATCGCGACGCGATATAAAAAAGTATAAAACCTGACAAATCATTTACTTCCAATGCTTTTATGGCACTTACATTCTCTTGAAATATACTCAAGGAATTAATTTCGTAAACCATTTAAAGTCTCCGATGTTAACTGGATAAAACGAAATATAGCATCTAAGCGAGCATTTAGTAATACGCATTTATTATCAAAATGTGTAATGCCTTCCATACTACATCATAATTAGCTTCCGTCAAAGGCACTGAACGTACAATGGAGAAAGCAGAACCAGTAACAGTTATTAAGTAATGGAATTTTTGAACATTTCATAATTGTTCGTTATTATGAACTGCAGAAGTGAACATATCGCGAAAAGAACGCCATTGCAAAATATCACCCTCAGTCAGCAATTTCAATTTTGATAAATGTCTAAAATTATTAGGTACTGAATTTATCATTTTTTCGTTATCATTTATTCCTAAAGCTGTCATCGATGCCTTTATCAAATAATAATTGTCTAACACTTATTTACCAATAGACGCGTGTGTTTTAGCGTATTATTCTTCACGCGAAAGTACAATAAGATTAGTCAAAATCTCATCCTGTTCAATTCGAAAGTCCATCATGACAATTCCAATGTTTTTAATGCGCGTTTGAAGAACTAGTTTAGCATCCCTATTTTTTTCAGCATCATTGACTAAGTTTAACAGCGTTTCAATATTATTAACTTGATAATTACGTTTATGTATACTACGTTTAATAGCGCGCTCCGTCCGTTCGGTGTCATCAACGGTCTATGGCATAATGACAACAAATTATACATTGGCTTACGTGAGTAAATTTTATATTTAAGAAAATGAATACTGCTGAACCGATAAAATATCAAAATAAATAGTAACCGCCAACCAAGCTAAAGGTACATAGATTTACAAAAACTAAACGATCGATAAAAATAATTGATGAAGATAAACTGTCGGCGAACAGAGAGGCAGGTAGTTCGGACCGGTTGACCAACTGCCTAGCGTCACAGAAGGGATCGGTAATACCTACCAGGCTGAAAGGTAATGAGGGTTGCTTGTAGTCTCAACGACAGTCAGTGTTCAGAACCAAGTAGAAGAAGAAGGACGCAGCAGTTATTCCCTTTTATTTTTTATATTTCATATTTATTTAATTGTTGTTTCATTTTTTTGTTATAAGTTATTTTTTTAATAAAGCAAGTTGTTTTGTGTTTGATCATTCACTATAAGTAAGTTTGTTTTTATTTTATTGCATAGAATAAATTTGTCTACAATAGACAAATTTATACATAACACAATATTATTGATAGTAACATTTAGAGCAATTCTAAATAAACTAACTGCATGAGTTCACCTGCGCACAGCTACGTTAGGCATAATTCACGTAATCGGGAAGAAATAATTAGAGTATGGTGCCATAACTATATTTTAATTATTTCCGTTTTATAGTCATCGTTGTCGGCGCACTGCGGTGATCGATTGACGTTTAGGGTACTCGTGCAGGGCAGTACTCTACTGTTATATGACATCGGTACTCTGCGGATACCATGACATTTGCGCAATATTCACAGATTAAGCTACACGACGTAGCGCATATAGTATTACTTGTTTAACCAGCATAGGTTACTCATGCAGTTAAGTTATAACGACATTTGATATAGTTTACACATGGTAGAGCTTCATACTCTGTTTTTTAATATTTTATGATTACAGTCCATTCACGATTATTAACATAAACAGTAGTAATCACACTAATAGTCCGGTAGTAATTGTTTACCTAAATCATAATTATTGACTATTAACTATGTATAGATTATACTTATGAGCGATAAAAATGAAAGAACTAACGATAATAATCTACAATCTATTAAAATCCTATAACGGCACAATCAATTATATACAGGTTAACACATATAATTATGCACAACAAAGTATTTTCCCGATAACACCGACAAACGACCTTGCTTTTTTCCCATAATGTTAAAAATTTTATGATCAGGAATTAAGATCTTCTGACCTTTGAGCGTTGGTAGTATGCGGTGTTTTTAATTGTTGATAAACAATACACCCCACCAGTACGATAATAGAATGGAAGAAAACAATAATAAATTAATTATATGTGCATTAAGGAAATTACTCATCGCTAATTATAATAATAATTTTAATAGAACGACGAAACAAAATTAAGAGGATCAATGTTGCGTTATGAAGGACCAAAATGTTTGAGTGTTCCTTTAACTAAAATTTAAAAGAAGAACACTACTTGCGTGTCGTGAGTAGATGTATATGTATATAAGAAAAGTAATGTCGAAAGATGTTTAGAGTTATATTATTATTTCTAAGTAAAACATCTCATATAAAACATAAAATAATCTTAAATTAATGTTAGTAGAAATTAACTAAAGCTATACATACACAGGCGTACTTAATATATTCATACACAAATTACCAATAAAATATACAATAAATATGACCTATATGTCCACGGATGACAACAACTTTGATTGGGGCTGGATTGCGAATTACAGGAGACGTGGTACAGAAAGTGTTCAACGGCGTGAAATGAAGTCAACTCGTCCCGATGGTGGCGAATTTTGGCGTATACACCTTTGCAATGCTTCAAAAGAGCACAAAAGAAAAACGATAATATACTGTTCAGTATCAACGATACTCAAGCGAGCGTTTGATTGCTAATGAATAATGACTTGTTTTATCGAGTCGCGTGGAACTCGTCCAGTTATTTTTACCAGCGGTCATTCACATATTGATTGGGCGGTCACAACAAAGACACCATATGATTATGTACGTAACAAATATTTTTAATTAATTAATCCACTTTAATTTACGAAAATAAAGTTCAACATATGTTTTATATTTTATTTTATTAAATACATTTATATTTATTTGTATATTAATTAAAATAAGCACTAATTATCAAGCTACATTAATATATTGTATAGAAAACTATAAAAAAACCAGTTTGTATTACGAGTACTCGCAGGTGAAGTGAAACTTCTTTCAGAATTATTTGATTGGTAGAATATTAGGTTTATGCTGGAATAAAATAGAAAATACAATTAAAAATTGTATAATTTTAATACAACATATAAACTATTGTCGAACATGCTACTGACCAGAATCAACCCTTATATCAAAGAAATAATTGGAGAATACCAAGCGCAAAGAGACTTGAAGGATGACCAGACAAAGATAGAATTAAAAAAGACCCTAAAATGCTGGGATTAAGGAATGTAAAAGAAAAGGCAAAAGACTTAGAGGAATGATAACAATATGCTGTCACGGTAATGGGCCTTAAAGGCCTTTAAAAAGTCAAAGAAGAAGAAAAAAAATATAATTAATTAAATTTAAAGGTATTACATTTATTAGGGTATTTCTTTATTCACTAATGTGTTTTTCCCATAAATTATGTTTTATTGTACATTTTTTTCATCTACACTGTGACACTTTAAAGTTCACAAAATAAAACTAAGCCCGTCTGATGAATAAATATTTTCTCTAAATGCTTTTACATAATCAGGCAAGCGAAATCATAACGATTGTATAATTATTAGCATTTTATGAGCTATTTAATTTCCGAAAAATCATTTAAAATGAACTTAACTTTCAAACTACACAACATAAAAATAAAGAAAACTTCACTGTGCCGAAGAATCACTAACAGATTGTTATTTCTAATTTAGATGATGTGTAGTGTTCGGTCGTGCCAAAGCAGAACAGTGCGATTAGTTTCGGTTTTCATCGTCATGAGCGCGAACTACCCTAACCGGTTTTACTGTTGGGGTAGTGTGTGTAGTGGTCTCCTACTCGTGTTCTCGTATACTCCAAATGTGCGCAACTGCAGTAAAATTACGGACACTGTTTGTGTTATGTGGCGTATTTATAAGACGTGTCGCATTTGATAAAGGTGTTGTTGTTGGTTTTTGTTTCTATAGTGTGACATATTTAAACACGTTATATATTGTGCATGAACATATATTAGCTTTTGACCTTATTTTTGAAGTGATATTGGAACACAGTTGATTGCGTCAACTGTGTAATTTATTGTATGTAATTGTACAGCAAGTTTTTGTAATATTTGGCTAAGTTGATGTCTGATGGATTTTAATCTGTCATTATTCAATGTCCGTTGAAGCACCATTATATCATATTAATATTATGTTCATTGATTGATTATTACGATAGATTTAAAACCTACTAATATAAGTTAAAAGTAAACTGAAAAGAGTCAGTCAATAATTTTTTTTTATTTAATTTATTAACTTTACTTATTTTACACAAAGAACCAGCAAAAACGAGATTTCACTAGGAAAGTTGTCGTTCGAGTATTCTCGTCACACAGGCAGCCTACATATAACAATTAACTAACGCCTACAACAGTTATTGTATTATAAATTATATATGGTTTCTTTTAGTTCAACGTTTTTCTCAATTTATCAATAATTGTGTATTTTTTATGTTCGTTTCTTATTCCTTAATAAGTTCTCGACTTTAATTTTAAAATGCAAACACACATAACTTGATTATATATAAGATGATGATCTAATTAAGAAAATGACCGATCATGATTATAATAAAAATTCTATTTTAATTTACATTTAATAAATTTGTAATCAATTTCATTTGATTAGTTATGAATTATAATTACGTTTAATAATTGAATAAAATAAGAGTCAAACTATTTATAATTAACACAATTCTTTTTTCAAATTTGTTAGTATACATAAGAACAGAAATTAAGTCTAAAACAAACGTTATAATTATATTTACCAGATAATAGATATTATGTGTTAGTTTAATCAGAATCAAACAGTAATTTTTGTAATAAATTTAATGTGGATAAAAGTTCTGACTTCAATTTATAACCACCTACCATTATTTCAATTGATGGTAAGTCGAATATAATATCAACCAATCCTGCACATTTTTCATAGCGATTCATATAAATATTACACATTTCAGCATATAATTTTCTTTCATATGTATCCATTTTATTTTGCATGCTAAATTTCAATATTTCTTCTAAAGCGTCTATAGGTTCAGTGCGTAAATAGTAGGCTATAAATATTTCCTTTATTTTAGAAAAAAACATTAAATCCCTCGAAAATATAGTTAGTATGTTAACATATGTATTAGAAACAATTTTTTTTGTTATTTCGCAATATCGAATCATTACTGAAATTGCAACACTTTCAATGACATTTCTAAGCCATACCATACTTTCGAAAAAGTTCTCAGCAATAATTGTTTCAATAATAATGTCTAACAATGTTTTCCCTGCAACTGCTGTTACTTGATATTGTCGAATAGGAGCAGAGCCACTGTATGGTTTACTGAAATCAACTGACTCATCAATATTCAAACGATCGTTGTACTTGCTTGGATCTGTCTCGTTCATTATCTCAGGCGCGGTGTAAATTGTATTGCCTTGTAAGACCAATCCCATTAGACGTTGATTTTTCAAGCAATATTCGAAAACTTTATGATAATTTAATTGATACATGTCATGGGATACACATTTTTTTGAAAATGAACATAAAATAATAAATGCATGTACAAAATACATACTGATAATATGTAAAAAATATTAAATGAAAATGAACGAGGTTTTTCACAATTAATTATCATTAACTCAATAGAAGAGTAGGTTTTATCGAATAATAAAATCGGTTTTATTTTTCTAATTATTAATGATATTAATGGCTTCTATATATTACAGGCAATATAAATAAATAAATAAATAAATAAATTAGAATAGAAAAATTTGGCGAACTAAAATAAAATAAAATAAATTGTACACATTAACATCGTTTTGTTAACATTTAGCTAATAAATTATACTGCAAGTCATTCCGTGTCTATTAAAAATAATTTCAATTTGTAATTTAAAGAGTTATTATTTAAGAGCATTAAAATTATTTATTGAAATTATATGAACTTATTTGTAATTTATTTTATTTTTATCAAATATTAGTTTGTGATTGTTAAATTTACAAAAAAGTTGAGCAGTATTTTTAAACGCAACCATAACATTACTAATTACATTGTGATCAATGCTATAAACAATTTTAGGGTTCGTTAAATAGTCACTTAATGTTACTGATCTTTTTGTTTTTATATTAGTAAAAAAAACTATTTAGTTATAAGAAATAAATTTAAGTTAAAATATCCGGTTTGAAATCGACACGACCACGGCATTGTTTCCCGTGTGACGCTCCGCAGTCGTACCAGCTCCTTCTCAGCCACTGCTCCACTGTAACCGGATCGTTACACACACGCGTTATTGTCGTGGTGTAAAGTCCAACAAATGGCCAGCGTCGAATACCCACCGCAATAATAAGTCAGTAACCTTCGTGACACCGCCACATATTTTTCATCCGGTCTGCAGTATTGTCATTATTATTATTACTTTTACGCACTGAAAACGCAAGTGAAGCACAACTAGACTTGGTGTGTGTACTACTATACAATACCATTAATTTATCTAGTTGTAATTTTAGTCACTCGCGCCGTTTAAGTGAGACTATAAGGTGAACAAAATTTGGGTTGTCACGCGTTAGGTATTAGTACGATGTTACACAGTTCTACTCCATTTGGTTTTATTTTACATGAACTAGTAGTAAACAAATGTGTATAATTTTTAATCAGATTTTTAGCTTCGATGCGAAGCTGAGAAAGTATTAATTTTACCATGTTTTGTTAGCTTCGATGCGAAGCTGAGAAGGTATTGGTTTTACTATGATGTGTTTTTTTTTT